GTGGACCTGGAAGGCAGGCCACACCTACAGAAGAGGTTCCAAAAACCCACCACTGGCAAGGATCTTATAACTTGACAGCTTTAAGACTTGCATGATTCAATGCCAGTGTTTCTGAATAGCTACTTGGACCAACCTAAGTACTAATTCATAATTTCATATCCGGTCACATGGGTGGCAAGCCACTCCCATCCGGTCACATGGGTGGCAAGCCACTCCCACAAAGGAGGCCATTCCCACAGAGTAGGTTCTAACAATTTTTGAAACCCACCACTGAGTAGTTTGCACTGTATGGGCCTGTATGCTGAGCAATTTATTTTAAAACTGTTAAAACAGCCATGTTAGCTTTAAAAGGATGTCACTGTTCTAATGATTCAAAATAAGGTCCAACATATACATTGTGAAACACCATTCTCAGAGGTGTGCACAACTGCCAACTAGCCATATCAGCAGTAACTAATAGAAACAAGCATTATTATCAAGCCAGTCAAAGGGGACAATCAATATAGATGATGATGTACAAAATCAATTGTCAAAATGGAAGTTTTAAGAAGGGAGTGAGCACAATTCTGGAGCTACACAGTGAAGTTCATAATTTGAGCAGTTCTTTTCCTCCTACAAAGCTGGTGAATGTATAAAAGATATTTAAAATGTTGATCATTAAATTTACTCAAATGCACTACATTCGATTCAGTTATCCTTTTTGTAAAAAGACTTCACAGTGCCATCTAAATACAATTGCAGTTTTCAACTATATCAGTATCTCTCAACTCATAATGATATAAGGACAACAGATGGCAGTAAAAGGTCCTAGAAACTTTTCAAAAGAAATCCACATGAATTAGGTCAACTTAATTAAACGGAAACAATAATAATTATGACTTTCAGTCAAGAAAATTATTGAGCCAGTCTAACTGTTCTTTAGCCAGCATTAAACCATACTAGTATAAAGTTTCATTTGTAACAACTTGTAACCTACTACAGGACAAATGCCTCTCAAATGGTGGTATCCTTATACAAGGGAAAGGAAAGAAGCTCTGAGTTGTCTCTCACTCCCTCTACCAAATGTCACCAGCTAGTGGGAAAATATCCAGGCACAAACTCTATTGGGAGCTAATTCTTGACCTTCCAACATCTATCAGCAAGTCTGAAAAACAGGTTGAACAGTAAAGAGGAGAAGAACCTGCTTCACTGCATGAAAAAGTAAAAGAAAAAACCCAAACAGCTGAAAGGAGCTGAAGAGCACAGCAGGAAAGTGGGATCTCCTCCTCTTTACTGTTCAATCTGTTTTTCAGACTTCTTGTTAGATGCTGGAAGGTCAATAATTAGCTCCCAACAGAGTTTGTGCAAAGCCTGGAATTACTTTTGACAGATGCTCATTTCTCCAGCTTCTTTTTCACTCCTCCTGAAGACCAGTTTCCCACTTTCTTAGAAGTATAATGAACCTGTGTTCAAAAGTAGCCAAACTAACAGCTGACCAATGGGGAGTGGCTGCTTAAAATTCACTCACACTTTGCTCTGCAATTTCCCCCTTCACATTTCTTAATTGTGAAGTCAGTCTAGTCTTTAAAACATGAGGTTAGCACTCTTTGAAAAGCGATTAAAGCCATGTTTAAAAGTGGCCAAACAATGACAGGCCCCTGGGAAGGACTGTGCCATGAAGCAGCAGATAGCCTCGTTCTCATTAACCCTTTAATTCATTCTTCACTTTCACCATTGGTCTGCTGCCCTTTGAGCCAATCAGGTCCCCAAATTGGTGGGTTGGATCAGAGACGTGATGGATAAAAGGAAGAGTCTGGTTTGATTGTTGTGGGTTCTCTTGCAGCCCCATAAAAAAAGAGCACCGAGTTTCTGGGCTGAAGAATCCAGATAAACATAGAAATATCAAGTGGTCATCCAAATGTTTGCAAGCCAGACCTACTAGCGCTAGAATAAAAAAAGCTGGCCAGTTCATTAAGCATCTTCCATTCAGTGCCTTTCCTATTTTCATTCTCCCATATCAATATCCATCGTAGAAGAAAATTTGTTCCAAATAAAGTGAATAAAACCTGAGTAAATAAATGCCAAATTATCTCTTTAAAATTTCAGCCTCTTCCATTTCCAACAGCTTCTATGCTGGTTTCCAGATATATTAGATATAGGCATAGTGGATAAAAGGATTATAACAAAACTTCACGGTTAATTTTACATTTCAGAAAACCAATCTTTATTTATGCTTTAGTATAGCTCTTATTTTGAGAGGTCTTCTCTCTCTTAATATGTTTGCGTTGCCATGATATCAATAATTTTTATCCTTTCCAGCCCAGAATTTTATTTACCTCTCCAGAAGAACTGGGGACAGCTCCAATTTTTGCTTGTAGTTTTTTAATATCTAGTAATGGACCAGTAATAAGAGAGGTTCCTGAATCTACAATAGCTTCACAGCCATTTTTACATGCTACGATCTGTCCCTGGATTTTCACACTGCATTATTGGATGCAGAAAGCATAAAGGGATAAAGGAGGAGAGTAATCATCAACAATCAAGAAACAAACTGAGCGTAATTGGAATACATAAATACAAAAACAAACAAAATTAAATAGGTATTTGAAAAAGCAAACATTAGACCATTTCTTTCTTTGCATTACACACACACACACACACACACACACAATATCTGTCCATTAATATCATTTGGATTTTTGCATTCAGTATTGTCAAGAGAAAATAAGGCTCCAATCTCATACTTTTTAAAATCCTGTGGTAAGATTTATGCTTCAATAAATATGTATTGAATTATCCTCTAACCCAGGGGTGTTATGCGTCATGCCCTGGCCATGCCCACTCCCATTTTAGCGAAAGGGGAAAAGTTGTAATGACAACGTGATGATGTGAATTTGACACCCCTGCTCTTACCCATGCCAATATCTGCCCACCTAGCAGTTTGAAAACATGCAAATGCAAGGAGATTAAAAGATACCACTTCAGTGGGAAGGTAACAGCATTCCATGCATCTTTAATATATAGCCATGCTGGTCACATGTCCACAGAAACTGTCATTGGACAACACTGGCTCCCTTGTCCATGAAATGAAGATGAGCACCATGCCCCAGAGTCAGACATGGATGACAGAGAAACTTTTACATTTTACCATGCAAACATCTAATTTATTTTATTTATAAGGGGAGCACAAGGAAACCATGCTTCTGTTTTTTTTAAAAAACAGAAAAACAAAAATATAAAGAAAACATCTTGGTAATACTTTCTATGTCTCTCTTCTTTTGAAAAAGTTTCTACAGGTGAAGATATTAAAAGAAAAGTATATGTACAATTCTATTATGTAATAACTAATTATATTTAGTTAAATTGAATATGCTCTGCATTCACAGCCACTTAGACTCTGAGGTCCAGCCACCAGTGCTAAGCAGAGTGGTTGATAAAGATTCAGCCATAGAGAAAACAACTCCATAGAGTGGAGAGACTTGGCAGGAAACAGGACAACAGAAGATCCAATGCTGAGAGCTCAGCTGCCGCTGCTCTGTATTTTATTCATTTATTTATTTAGAAATTTTACGTGGCGGCCTGCTCACTCTCAGTGACTCTGGATGGCTTACAAAAAAATAAGCTGATGTATTGTACTTCTTTCCTGGTAGTAGATGCTGGAAACAACTTTTCAGTCCTCAACTCTGTCTATGACTGTGCCATATTTAGAACTCTGGATTTCACCTCATTGTGTCTCTTGTCTTGCCGCTTGGATTTGTCATTGTTTAGTGAATTCCTGGTCTTGATTATACCAAGGCTGTGTGTCTGTGTTTACAGTTGCCATCATAATATATTGGTAAAAAGGATTCTTTTCTTTTTTTAAAAAAATCTTCCTGAGCTCATATATTACTGGACTCTGGTAGCAGGCATCCAGCTTGTTATCTTGTTGGCTGCCAGCCAACAGTGCAGGCCCAGAAAATTGCTTCTCATACTCAAACATAAGCATAATATATATGTATTGGCTGTGGTTCATCTGCTTCATCAGGAGTCAGACGTTGTTTTTGCATGCCTACCTCAAGGTTTCTGTTTTAGCAAACTTACTTTTCAAGAGGAATCTGCCAGTACATTTTCCGACTGACAGGAATCCAATATATGGGTCCATGGTAGAGTGAATGGTCTATGCCTCCAAATATCAATTCACCTCCATCATTGGTGCCATCTCTGAAAAGATGAAATGCATTGTGCTGATGAGCAAAACATGTAGTTGTTAAACTGAATGAGAACACAACTGGGACTCAGAGGAGATATTTGAAATAAATTAGGGATGGTAAAGAAATCTGTTATGGATTTATTTTCAAGAAAAATATGTACTTGCCAAAATGGAAGCTATTGTAGCATGAATTATCAGTTATTAAAATCTATTTTAAAGTATTTCTCACCGCATAACTGCCTATAAAATGGTGTGTATTTGGGGAGGTTTCCTGCAATGCATATCTATTTGGAAATATCTATAATACAGGTAATAGGAAAGCTGTATACAGATATAAGTAGGGAAATATGCTTATAGGACTTGTAATAATCTATTCTTAGAAAAAGTTCATAGAAAAATGGATTTTCTTATTTATTTATTTTTAAAAAATACAGAGCTTTGAGCAAACAGATGAGCTGAAAGTTAACATGTAATTGTGTTGTGATTTATTTGTTTTGAGAGAAGGAAGCCTTCTTTGCTGCAAAACAAGCTTTCCAACTGTATAGGACTTGTAATAATCTATTCTTAGAAAAAGTTCATAGAAAAATGGATTTTCTTATTTATTTATTTTTAAAAAATACAGAGCTTTGAGCAAACAGATGAGCTGAAAGTTAACATGTAATTGTGTTGTGATTTATTTGTTTTGAGAGAAGGAAGCCTTCTTTGCTGCAAAACAAGCTTTCCAACTGTATAGGACTTGTAATAATCTATTCTTAGAAAAAGTTCATAGAAAAATGGATTTTCTTATTTATTTATTTTTAAAAAATACAGAGCTTTGAGCAAACAGATGAGCTGAAAGTTAACATGTAATTGTGTTGTGATTTATTTGTTTTGAGAGAAGGAAGCCTTCTTTGCTGCAAAACAAGCTTTCCAACTGTATTTATCTAAGAGCTGTGAATAGATTATTACCAGAATATATAATGCAGAATTAGATAAATCAATCGTCTTCCTGTACATGTATTATTCTTTTGA